GGTATTATCTCATGTGCTTTGGACATGTTATCAGGGGGGACCAGTCCCTGGAGAAAGACATCATGCTTGGCAAAGTAGAGTATCAGCAAACAAGAGGAAGACCTTTAATGAGCTGGATTAACAAGATGGCTGCAACAGTGGGCTCAAACATAGCAACAATTGTGAGACTCACACAGGACTAGGCAGTGTTTCATTCTGTTGTGCGTAGGGTCACTATGAGTTGGAACCAACTCGATGGCACCTAACAATAACAAGATTAACATATCAATCTATTGAAACAAATCTTGATAAATCAGATTTACAAGTTTTTATATAGGTGCCATATTTACAGGTGTTATAACTGTTCTGTTATCGTTAACTATTTCCTCTTTTTCATCACGATTGTGAGTGGGATTATTGTTGTCATGAATGAGGGTGGTGTTCTTAAAGGATGATTGGGAACTTTTTGACAATTGCAGGGGGCTTTGCTTTTGACCAGGGAGTAAGTGACTCTAGGAGGTTTACGTTTGTCCTAAAACGAGGTTTTCTCCCTTCTTTACAGGGCAGTTGGGTTTAGAGTAAATCCTGAACTCATTGTTATTTCTAGGGCTTCTTTTTTGAAATTAGTATTTCTCACTTGACTGGGTTTGTAGCTACCACACAGCTGCAAACCATCAATTCACTTGTCTTAGTCGTCTGTTTAGCTTCTATGGTTTGAGCTGGTTTATGAGCCAAGCCTGTTAGCTCAACAGGAACAATTTTTCAGTCAAGCCAACGCCTTTTTACTAAGGCTGAAAGTTCATATTTAAGGGTGTTTTTAGTTTCAAGTAGAGACAGATGAAGAGAAAAAACAAACAAACAACAACAACAAAAAAACAGCTGGCAAAGCAGCGGTGGGAACTTTACTAGGTGCCTGAAACTTAACTTGGCTGTTTTAGAGCCCCCTTTTCTCTAATCCACTATACAGAAAAGGTATTCATACTGAGCTCAAAACTTTTCCAGACAGGTCACTGGTCTGATTCCTTATCTCTAGTAAGTGCATGCCATTTCCCAAGAAACTGAACTGAATTTGGCCCATAGTTCTTAATCATGTAAGTGGCTGGAGTACGAGAGAGGACTACTCTGGTCCAATGAAGGGGCATTTCCCAGCTTACCAGAGTTCAGCACATGCGACCTTAAATTTCGGAAATCTGCAGATATAGTCATGCATCACTAGATGGCACATAAAGTTTACCTTTGAGCAATCTCAGAGACAAACTGCCTGCCTGTGTAGAGAACTACTTTCAGTTTTTCCCAAACCATACAGAAATCATGTTAGGGAACACTATGAGATTTGGGTAGTGGCTTATGGTGGTTCAGAACTCCTTGAAAGTAGATTTACCTCTGTACTAACTGAGAAATTCAATTTGAGACACCACAAACAGATGAAAGCATACCAAGGCGTCCAAGGAAATCCAAACAGAAAGACACAGAAAAAGGCTTAATAAAAAGATCTCAGATAACCATGATGTAAATCATGAGGTTTGAATCCAAGAGTGCTTACCTTTGTGGGTTCCCTGGGGTCTGTGGAAACGGTAGGACACAAGGGGCCCAGTCACTGACACCACTTCCGGTCCTTGACCCCTCAGGGGTCCCACTGAAGGAAGACAGCTTTGGGTCCTGTGGACTACACCAAAATGTGCTGGGGGAAAAGACCCCACACTTAATCCCAATCATAAGAGATTTCTATTAAGCCAAGACAAAGACAATCATTAGAACAAGGGATCTGCCAATGTGAGCCAGGCACAAAAGACTAGCAGAAATTCACTGAACCATAGCCAGGGAGCAGCTAATTTACTATTATGGAAGGAAGTCAGTTAAGAAAAATTCTGATTGGTTATTCATTAATACATTGTTGTCAAATGCAGGATAACAGAAGTGGGGACTTTACACTGACAGGTTATGAGAGTTTTCATTGACTTAGTTACCACTCGGTGATAGGTTTAATTGAAGTTTTTGTTGACTTAGTTATTGCTTAGTGACCAAGGGGGTTTACAGGAGGGGATTTCCTTAGGAACAACCTGACAACATTCAGTTTTGGCTTAGTGACTGCAACGGGTTCACAGGACAGTCACAGGGTAATTGCAAGGCATTCGTTACTGAAAATGTAATGATTACATAATGACCCCTTGGGGACAAACTGCCAACATTGTTCTTGGCAGGCATGGGTAATGGGTAGAGGCTGGAAAAGTTTTAAGGTGCCTAACAGTAAAAGCCTAGATTGCCTTGAAGAGACTGTTGGTGGAACTATGGGGATCAAAGGCAATTCTGGTGAGGGCTCAGAAGGAATTGAGGAGAGCTGTAACACTGGAGACGGTGCAGACAGCGAGAAGCGGTGGCAGAGAAATGGTGGCAGCAGAACCCAGGAGACCAGCAGCGGACTTCAAGGGACCAGCAGGGGATGGTGCATCTGGCTTCCCAGCCCACAGAACAAGAAAGTTGAGTGCCTTCAGGCAAGAGGCCTGCTGCAGAGTAAGGTGTTTCTGGGCACTTGGTGGAGCTAGGTTTGCTGACCCACAGCACTACAGTTGAGTGCCATGGGGCTAAGGCTTACTGGCGGAGTGGGGGACCTCTGGGCACTTATTGGCGGAGCTAAAAGGGCTTTGTAACACCTGTCCAAGCAGGACAGAGGTAGGGCTGAGGGCCAGAGCGAGACCTGCTTGTGGGCATGGCTGAGAAGAGGCTGTGCTGACTGAAGAACTTTATCCTGAGCATTCCTGAACCTGAATTATAACCTGTAACTTCCCTATAAACCCCATAATCATGAGTATGGTCTGTGAGTTTTATGTGGCCATTTCAACAAATTATTGAATCCAGCAGAGAAGTAGAGAGAGCCGTGGGAGAGATGGATGGTGTCAGAATTGGTAAATATGATGGTTAAGACTGTGTCAACTTGGCTAGTCCATGATTCTCAATGTTTTGGCAGTTGTATAATGTGATCACTTCCCTGTTGAAATTTGGTATGTGATCACCCCCATGATGGAAATCACTGAGTAGTACCGGTGGAGGCGGGGCCTATGGCAGCTCACCACCCCTCAGCCTTTCTCTCTCCACCCTCCGCTGGCTACTTCCTTCCTGTTCACCTTTCCAAGGTTTTTGGCTTGTTCCAGAACCAGAAGCTGCCTCTTGTCATCTCACCTCTGGTTCTTTGGAACTTGAGCTAGCAGCTTACCTGTTGATCTTGGGATTCATCAATCTTCACAGCCTGCGAGCAAGTGTCCTGCTCCCTGACCTGCTGATCTTGGGTTCGCCAGCCCCTGCAGCTACGTGAATCAGGAGAAACTTTGCGGTCTTGTCTGCTGAGCTTGGAATTTGTGGACCCTCACAGCCTGTGAGTAGAAGCCCTGCTCTCTGACCTGCCAACCTTGGGTTCACCAGCTTCCATGGCTGCATGAATTGGAAGAGGCCTCTACCCTGATCCATGGACTTGGGACATTCCAGACCCTACAATTGCGTGAGCTGTTTCCTTGATATAAATCTCTCTCTATATATATATTTATACCCTTTTCTGGTTTTGCCTCTCTAGAGAACCCAGCCTAAGACAGTAAAGATGGTGGACAGAGGAGGTATGTCTGACTTCTACCTCATAGCAATCATCCTTGGGCTTTGATCTTGATTCTCCTTCCCCCTCGTGAAGTTAGGGAAGGTCGTAAGTCCCCACCAAGCCATTTTTACAGTTGGTGTCAGAAGTGGTCATGTGGAACCTGTACACAGACCAAGAGGCAGTCATTTGAACAGAACAAGGGGATATTACATGGCTTAAAATCAGGAAGGGTATGCATAAGGGATGTATCCTTTCACCATACTTATTCAGTCTGTATACTGAGCAAATAATCTGAGAAGCTGGACTATATGAAGAAGAACAGGGCATCAGGATTTGAGGAAGACTCATTAACAATTTGCAATATGCAGATGACACAACCTTGCTTGCAAAGTGAAGACGACTTGAAGCATTTATTGATGAAGCTCAAAGACTACAGCTTTCTATATGGATTACACGTTAACATAAAGAAAACAAAAATCTTTACACTGGACCAATAAGCAACATCGTGATAAATGGAGAAAAGACTGAAGTTGTCAAATATTTATTTTACTTGGATCCATCATGACGCCCACGGAAGCAGCAGTCAAAAAATCAGATGACGTATTACATTAAGCAATTTTGCTGCAAACGACCTCTTTAAAAGGGTTCAAAAGCAAGGATGTCACTTAGAGCACTAAGGTGTGCCTGACCCAAGCCGTGGTATTTTCAATCGCCTCATATGCATGGGAAAGCTAGACAACGAATATGGAAGACCGAAGAACTGATGCCTTTGAATTACGATGTTGGCAAACAATACTGAATACACCATGGACTGCCAGAACAAAAAACAAGTCTGTCTCTGAAGACATAAAGGCAGAATGCTCCTTAGAAGCAAGGATTGTTATCAGGAAGGACTAGTCCATGGTGGACATCATGCTTGGTAAGGTAGAGGGCCAGCAAAAAAAGAGGAAGACCCTCAACTAGATGGACTGACACAGTGGCTGCAACAATGGGCTCGAACATAGCAATGATCGTGAGGATGGCAGCAGACCACGCAATATTTCGTTCGGTTGCACACAGAGTTACTATGAGTTGGAACCCACTCGATGGCACAACATATGGCAGAATAGAACTGCCCCATAGTTTCCAAAGGTGTAAATCTTTATGGAAGCAGACTCCCAAATCTGTCTTCCACGCTGGAGGGTTCCAACTGCCAACTGTTTGGTTAGCAGCTGAGTGTCTAACCACTGCACCAGCAGCACTCCTTAAAAAAAAAAAAGTAGGTAATATTACTAGCTTCATTTTACAACTTAATAAACTGAGGCAAGAGCAGGCCGATCACTTCCCAACACATCGCGTCTAGGGGTTACAGCCACTTTTCCCACCTGAGCTGGCAGGACCCAAGCTCCAGCTCCCTGCCGCCGCGTAGCGCTGCTCCCGCCCTGCGTGGCCTGGGCAGCCGCGCTCCATCTGCGCATGTGCATCCCCGCCTTCTCCAGCTGGCTCGTCCTTCCCAGGCCTCCATCCCCTCGTGGGAGACAATCGCTGGACTCCAGATCAACGCGACGTGAGAGCTGGGGGTCAGTAGGAGAGGCCGGGCGAGGGCCAAGGGCCGCTGCCGCGCGGCTCAGGGAGCGGGCGGAGGCGGTTGGTGCCAGACGGTGGAGAGGAGGCCCCGCGACCCCGCGGCTAAACTCCAAGCGCCTGCAGCTCCGGCAGGGATTAAGGGGTGGAGAGCAGGGGCGTCTCTCTCAGGTGAAGTGGCCGGGCCCTGCGCGCTAACACAAAGACACAGGTTCGCAGGGTCCGCACGTGTCCAGCCCCTGCGCTGAGCGGAAGGCGCCGCGCGTCCGTGCGGCCCTTAGTGGGGAATGCGCGTGCGTCAACGGAGCGGACCAGCGGGAGAGGGGCGGGGGGACGGGCTACGGGGGAGATCTCGTGCGCGTGCGTGACGTCGTGCGTGCTGGGCGTGGGCGAGCTGTGTGCGTTGGGACCGCGGGAGGGGGCGGGGCTGCGGGCGAGCGTGAATGCGCCGGTGGGAGCCGGGATAAATGAATTACTCAGGCAAGGTAACTGTCGAGAGACTGGTTTCTTTCCCTGTAAAATTCGGATATCTGGAATACCCGCGGCATTAGGTGGTTCTGAGCATTTACATTTTCTTAGGTGCTACTGTATTTAATTGTTATGCATGTAATACGTAGTCCTCTGGGAGGGTTCCAGGACAATTCACTTTGTGCCTGATTTCCTCACACTTAAAATGGAAGAGTGAAGGGGCTGGAGTAGCTAGCTTCCAAAACCCTCTCCCGGGTCTAACGTATCCAGATGCCAAGTTAGTACTTACTATGTGTTCGTTTGTCGTTATGTATAATCATGAAGCCGTCGAAGGTTGTGTAATGGTGGAAGGTCTGGGACAGGATTAAGAAGACGCAGGCGAGCTGGCAGAAGGGTGGGCACGAGGCAGGCTGCACAGGAAACTCTTCGGGGAGTTTGTGAGGGCAGGGTCCAGGATGAAAGGCTCACCAGCCACAGCTTAGGAAATTCTGTCAGCACCCTTCCGTACACACCCCCTATGCCCCTCCTTCTCCCTTAGCTCTTCCCCAGGGTGAGCTGCTCTCAAAGACGTTCCATACCCGGTGGCAGGCATCTGGAGGGATGCTGAGCTTCTTGCTCTCCTGGTCTGATTCACACACAGAATGGTAGTGCAGGATGGTCCTTTTATGCTTGCTTATTTATTTATTTTACCGTATTTGAAAGGTGAAAAAAAAATTGAGTCTGACGTGACTGGTTCAGATCATGCAATTTGTTAGTGGCAGAAGCAAAATTGAAAGTCGGGTCTGCTATTATTGGGTCACGCTGTCTGCTTTGTCATTGTTAGATCAAAGATACTTATAGCAAGTTAGAACAAACATTTAAGAAAGTTTGTGTTTGCCCTAAACACACCCATCCCTTTTTTACAGGTTTCTTGGATTATCTGACCTCAGAGGATTAGTGGTATGAACAGGTAAACAGATAAACAATACAGCTTGAGTATTTTGTTTCCTACAATGTCACTATGACAAAGCCATAGAGTTTCCTCTTTAGATTACCATTATTTATTAAACTCATCCTCTCATATTTTTTATTTTTCTGTGTCACAGAACCTAAATTCTTAATATATCAATAAGAAACAAATGTTTACATTCACTGAAAAGTGTCATGTCTAAATTCAACATATATTGGGATCACACATGGACATGTCAGTATCTCATGTGTGGAGTTATATAGGCAGGTGAATCCAGGAGCTGCCAGGCAGGCCAGATCTCACTTGATGTCTTCCTTTCTTCTCCCCCAGCTCCAAGAAGAGCAGAAAATGAACAAATCTTCGGTAAGTTTTTTGTTTATTTCCACTGTTTTAAAATGGGTTTTCTGAAGTTTATAAGGATTGTTGTTGTTGTGTGCCGTCAAGTTGATTCTGACTCATAGCGACCCTCTGGGACAGAGTAGAACCTGCCCCATAGGGTTTCCAAGGAGTGGCTGGTGGATTCCAACGGACAACCTTTTGGTTAGCAGTCTGAACTCTTAACTACTTTGCCACGAGGGCTCCTTATAAGGATTAGTATTTTTTAAATGGAAAATTAGAAGCTGGCAAAAACTAACATTATGGGAAATACAGCTAGAGTAGCAAATCAAAAGCAGGAGAGCCGGCAAAATTAAATCCAGGACTTTTGATTTTACAGAATTATGTCAAAGTTATTGTAAAATTTTCTCCAAACTTTCTAACAGTAAGCCTGAAATAAATGCAGTATATTACCTGTAGTCACTTCTTATTGGAACAGAGCATGGTGCCAAAGCAGAACTCAGTTCATGTACTTTGCAGGGGACTAAACATTGAGAGGTTTGAGTAGACAGCTCTCTTATGGCTCTGCTTGGTCCGAGAATAAAATCTTGAGGATCTGGAGAAATGGAAGGACTACATGTCTTCACAATAACTCTCCATAAATGTGTCAGCTTAGTTAACATATAAGACAGTTCTGGCTTATGTTTCTGCCGTTTACTTTTCAACTTGATGAATGCAGTCTCGTGCCTTCACCACCAGTCACCTGAATCAGTTCTGGAAAAGGCCACCAGATTGTAGGCCACCAATGGATTTTTTTTATCTTTACTTGACCTTTCTGCAGCATTTGATACTATTATCCATGGTCTCTGTTTTGTTAAAGTCTCCTCTGTTGATGTCTGTAGTACTACCCTCCAAGCTCTCCTTTTTTAACTCTGAGGATTTCCTCTCTATCCCTAGTGGAGTCATCTTTTTCCTTTTACCCCAGACATTCCTTATCCCCACCCAGGTTTCCATCCTTGGTCCTCTGCTCTTCTCAGTCTACCTGTTTTTCCTGACTGATTTCATCTCTCTGTTTTCCTTTTTTTCCATAAAATATTTTTGAGTTGGTGTTGTATTAACATGGTTAAAAAATTAAATGATACAAAAAGATGTAAGTTTTTAAAAAAAGATGTAAGTAAAACTTTGTACTCACATGCTTTCTGTTCTTCCTACTTCTTAAGCAGGGTGACGTTTATTTATCACGTAAATTAAGAGCCTTTCACTGAGAGTGAAAAAGGTACTATAAATGTATATGCTGGGACAGTTGGTATGTTTGGGGGCAGTCTCAGACAAACTGGAGTGTATTATCATCCTGTAGGATACCCATTTGTTTTCTAGTTTCTTGTTTGTCCTATCAGTATATCTTTATCCAGTTCAAAGAAGATATGTGTGCATATTCTTATATGACTCCCCTTTTAAAAATGGAATCCATTATCATTAGGGCTTCTCAAAATGAGATGCACCTATGAATTGCTTGGACCTTATTAAAACGAAGATTCTGATTTAGTAGATCTCGGAGCTCAGGACTCTGCCTTTCTAATAAGCTCCCAGTTGCAGCTAATCCTATTACTCAGGGAACCACACTTTGAGGAGCGAGTCTATACGCTATTTTCCGGTGGTGTTTTTTTCTTTTTTAAAAAAGTGTGTCCTAGGGATCTTTTTTATCTCACAACATGGATTGATTCTTCTTTCTTTGTCACAGTTGCATTGTAATTCAAGTATGGATGTTCCATAGTTTATTAAAACTATTGCAGCCTTCTGTTGCTACCAACCATGTTGTAATGAATAACCTTGTAATATGTGTATATTTTTTATTGTGGGAAAATATACATAACATAAAATTTACTATTCTAACTGTAATTCAGCAGCATTCAGTACATTCACAATGTTGTATAACCATTAAACCCCTTGTCGTGGCTTTGATTCCTACTCATAGCAACCCTGTAGGACAGAGAGGAACTGCCCCATGAGGTTTCCAAGGCTGTAATCTTTACAGAAGCAGACTGCCACATCTTTCTCCTGCGGAGCAGCTGGTGGATTTGAACCACTGACCTTTTGGTTAGCAGCCGAGCACTTCACCACCGCACCACCAGGCCTCCTTGTGTAACCATGACTACTCTCTATTTCTAGATCTCTTTATCAGCTCAAACAGAAACTCTATCCTATTAAGCAATAAGACTCCATTACCCCTTCCCCGCAAACCCTAGTAACCTGTATTCTACTTTCTGTCTCTCTAAATTTGCCTATTCTAAATACTTCTCATAAATAGAATTATATCCAATGTTTATCCTTTTGTGTTTGGCTTATTTCACTTAGCATAATGTCTTCTAGTTTCATCCATCTTGTAGCATGTATCAGAACTTCATTCCTTTTTATGGCTGTATAATATTTCATTATATGGATATACCACATTTTCTTTATCCATTCATCCATTGATGGACGTTTGAATTGTTTCCACCTTTTAGCTATTCTGAATGATGCTACTGTGAACATCGGCGTACAAATACCTGTTTGTGTCCCTGCTTTCAGTTTTTTGGGGTATATACCTAGGAATAGAAATGCTGGGTAATACGGTAATTCTATGTTTAACTTTTTGAGGAACCGCCTACGTGTTCCACAGTGGCTGTACCATTTTACATTCCCACCAGCAATGTAGGAGGGTTCCAATTTCCCCACGTCCTCTCCAAGACTTAGTTATTTTCCTTTTTTTAAATCATAACCATCCTATTAGGTGTGGAGTGATATCTCATTGTGATTTTGATTTGCATTTGGAGCGCAGTGGATAAACTCTTGGCTGCTAACCCAGATTAGCCATTTGAACCCACCAGCCACTCAAGCCCCATGGGAGAGAAAACCTGGTGATCTGCTCCCGTAAAGATTACAACCTAGGAAACCCTTTGGGACAGTTCTACTCTGTCCTATAGGGTCGCTATGAGTTGAAATAGAGTCAGTGGCATACAACAGTGGCAGTGGCTAATGATGTTGAGCATCTTTTCCTGTGCTTACTAGCCATTTGTGTATCTTCTTTGGAGAAATATTTTCAAATCCTTTGCCTGTATTTTAATTGAGTTGTTTGCTTTTTTGGTGTTGAGTTGTAAGAGCTCTATATATTCTGGATATTAATGCCTTTTTAGATGATTTGCAAATATTTTTTCCCATTTTGAGGTTATCTTTTCACTTTCTTGATAGTGTCCTTTGGGTGCACCGAAGTTTTTAATTTTGATGAAGTCCAATTTATCTATCTTTTCTGTATTGCCTGTGCTTCTGGTGTCATATCTGAGCATCTGTTGCTACATCCAAGGTCATGAAGCTTTTTCCCTATGTGTTTTTCTAAGATTTTTATAGTTTTAGCTCTTAGATCTAAGTCTTTGATCGATTTTGAGTTGATTTTTGTATATAGTATAAGGCATGATGCCAGCTTCATTCTTTTGCATGTGTATATCCAGTGTTCCCAGCACTGTTTGTTGAAAAGACTGTCCTTTCCCCATTAAATAGTCTTCACATCCTTGTGGAAAACCATTTGACCGCGTATGTGATGGTTTATTTCTGGGCACTCTGTTTTATTCCGTTAGTCTAGATGTCTCTTCTTATGCCAGTACCGCACTGTTTTGAGTACTCTAGTTTTTTATTAAGTTTTGAAGTAGAGAAATGTGAGTCCTCCAACATTATTCTTTTCAACATTGTTTTAGCTATTTGGGGTCCTTTTAAAATCCAGATGAATTTTAGGATGGATTTTTTTATTTCTGTGAAAAACACCCTTGGGGTTTTGGTAGGGCTTGCATTGAATCTGCAGTTGAACATTGCTTTAATATTAACAATATTAAATCTTCCAGTCCATGAACATGGAATGTCTTTCCATGTATTTTGGTCTTCTTTAATTTCTTTCAACAGTGTTTTATAGTTTTCAGCGTACATGTCTTTAACCTCTTTAGTTAAATTTTATTCGTATTTTATTCTTTTGATGCTACTGAAAATGGAATTGTTTTCTGAATTTCCTTTTTATATTGCTTATTGCTGGTGTATAGAAACCCCATCTGATTTTTCTTTGTTACTTTTGTACCCTGCAAATTTACTAAATTCATTGATTAGTTGTAGTAGATTTCTTGTGGATTTTTGGGGATTTTCTGTACATAGGATCATGTTATCCGTGAACAGAGATAATTTTACTTCTTACTTTCTGATTTGGATGCCTTTTGTTTCTTTTTCTTTTCTAATTGCGCTAGTTGGAACTTCAGTACTATGTTGAATAAAAATGGTGAAAGTTGACATCTTTATCTTGTTCCTGATCTTAGGGGCAAAGCTTTCAGCCTTTTCACCATTGCATATGATGTTAGCTATGGGCTTTTCATATATGGCCTTTATCATGTTGAGGAAGTTTCCTTCTACAATTTATTTGAGTGTTTTTATCATGAAACGATGTTGGATTTTGTCAAATGCTTTTTCTGCTTCAGTTGAGGTGATTTTTCCCCCTTCATCCTATTAATGTGATACGTTAATTGATTTTCTAATGTTCAGCCACCCTTGCGTTCCTGGGGTAAGTCCCACTTCAACATGGTGTATAATCCTTTTAATATGTTTTTAGATTCAGTTTACTAGTATATTGTTGAGAATTTTTTCATCTGTACTCATAAAGATTATTGGCCTTTGATTTTCTTTTCTTGTCATGTCTTTGGCCTTGGTATCAGTGTAATGCTGGCCTTACAGAATGAGTTAGGAAGTTTTCCCTCCTTTTCAATGGGAAGACTTTGAGAAGAAAAAAAAATAACCACCAAACCTGTTGATGTCGAGTCGGTTCTGACTCATAGCGGCCCTGTTGGATGGAGTAGGACTGCCCTATAGGGTTTCCAAGGCTGCAGTCTTTACAGAAGCAGACTACCCACATCTTTCTCCAAGGAAATAAGTAAGGAGCAGCAGGTGGGTTCTAACTGTCGACCTTTCGGTTTGCAGCCTACGACTTAACCACTGTGCTAACAGTGCTCCTTACTTCGAGAAGGATTGGTGTTAATTTT